TTAATGTTGGACTTGTGGGCTTGGGCAGCATTGGGTTGGGATGTTTTCATGATGCACCTTTTCTTTACATAAAACTCTCTCTCATACATGAGTCGCTGTGGATTTGTTTCTCCAAAGTACCCAGACTAATACACTGGTACAATGCAGGTACTCGTTGTGGGTTCTTGCAATAGGAAGCTACACGTAGAGATAACTTATCTGCACAGCAGCAGGTGTTCACACCATATGGGAAATAGCATGCATATGTCTTCTCAGTAGCCTTTCTTAGACTGATTAGTCTCTGTTTCCCTTTACTTTCAGATTGTTGATCTTTTACTTACCCATGGAGCTGATGTCAACATGGCAGACAAACAGGGCCGTACTCCTTTAATGATGGCTGCTTCTGAAGGCCACCTAGGAACTGTGGACTTTCTACTTGCACAAGGTCAGTCCTGAGAAGCCAAAACTGGGTTGTCAGAGGCCCATAATAGATAGCCTCATGATTTATAGTGCTGGATTCCAGGAGATGTTAAAAACACCTATTATGAATTCAGTGATTAGGAGATGAAAGCTCTCACGCAACTTCTTCCAAGCAGGCTAACTCTTCTCACCCTGACATTCTATATAGTCTATGGCTTGAGGAAGTTTTTTGCACTCTCATCAAATTCGCATAGTTCAAAGTCTTTAATTCAAATCAGTAATCTCAAACGTGGGGTTTTTTAGTATTCATTTCAATAAATATTCATCTTCCAGGAATTGTATTTGGGTCTTGTTTTTGTTTTCTATCCTAACATCAAAATATTTATCAAAAAACATTTATTAAAATTAACATCTATCTTGTATTCAAAGAAGACAAATGGAAGATAAGTCAGTTGTTGGCAGTGGAACCCTATTTGAGGAATCAGGATATAATTATTATAAAAATGGGTTTTTTTGCATTTTCCAACATCTAAAAATATTTTTATTCAATAGGAAATCTTAAAGTAGTTTGTAATTACACTAGTATCATAAAGCATTTTAGGCTCTTAATAATTTCTATGACCTCAATAACCTTTGAAAAACAGTGGTGTGTGATGGTGTAATACAGTGTAACAATTGTACATGTACCTAACAGCAGACTCTCAAAATATATGACGCACAAACACTGGAAGAACTGAAGGTAAAAATATAGACAATTCTGTAATACAGACTTCAATATCCCACTTTCAACATCTGCTCATTAGCAGATCATCTAGAGAAAAAAGAACAATAAGGAAATAGAGGATTTGCACAACACTATAAACCAACTAGACCCAATAGACTTATTTTGAACACTACCCAATAATGGCACAATACATGTGCACATGAATTGACATGTGTGAGGTCACAAACAAGTTTCAGTAAATATAAAAAAGACTGCAGTATAAAAAATGTCTTCTTTGACCACAATAGAATGAAAGTAGAATAAAAGAAGGAACTGAGAAATACATTAAAATGTGGAAATTAAACAACACTCTAGGGGGCTACAGGGGAAAACAAAAAAACACTATTTTAAACAATCATTGGTCAAGGAGGAAATCAAGAGAGAAATCAGAAAATGCTAAGAATAACAATGAAAGTATAACATACCAAAATGTATGGAATGCGGCAAAAGCAATACCTCATAGGGAAACTTACCTTGGTAAATATCTCCCATTTGAAAACAAGAAAAGACTTCCAATAAGATAAGCTGGCAGACTAGATGGATACTATCAGATCCTTTACAACTAAGACACACACAAAAAAATAAAACAGATACAGCTGATAATTCTGGAACCCTGAGCTTCAGAGGAAGAATAGAGAAGCAATACCAACTAGTTGAAGATGCTGAGTAAAAGCAGTGAGTGAGGAAACAGAGCGGTTGAATTCTCAGCTAGCCTAACCGTACAGCCATTTTGAACTTTTACAAGCAGCATTCAACTGGGTCAGTGACCTGATAATCAACTCTGCTTGCCCAGGACCACACAAGTGCCCATACCAGTTGCTGGTGACCAGAAAGGTGTAATTCCTTTGACATTCTATATAGTCTATGGCTTGAGGAAGTTGTTTGCACTCTCATCAAATTCACATAGTTCAAAGTCTAATTCAGATCAGTAATCTCAAACGTGGGGTTGTTTTAGTGTTCATTTCAATAAATATTCATCTTCCAGGTCCTGGTGACCAGAAGCTGGCCAGCCCCCACTCTAACCACCTGGCAACTGTTGACTCCTCTACCACCCCCTTGTGCAGCCCCTGCTCTTCGTGAGGCCAGGGTATACCCTCGTAGATCAAGCACCAAGTGCACTCTACTCCTGAATCTGGAGGTGTGTACTTTCCACACCTCAGGCCAGCAGAATATGCAGTGTGTTCCCAGCTACCCCTGGGCGGACAGGTACTCCTTCTGAACTAGATGCTCTGTCCCTAACTAGCTTCTGGACACATAAGAATTCCTCTCAGAAACAGACACTGTTTCCCAGCCACCCACTGAACCAATATGAATTCCTTCTGGGATCAGTTGACCTGAACCTCCTTGATCTAGAAGACAGGCTGTAACACTAGAGAACTGATGGAGAAGAGTCAGCACCAGTAGCGTGAGATAGGGAGGTGGACTTCCCAGCCTATGGAGTAAGAAAACAGAGTGCCATCAGGCAGGAGGCTTACTTACAGAGTAGGGTGGCTCCAAGCACTAATTGGAAGAGCTAGATTTGCTGACCCACAATGCTAGAACCAAGCACCTTCAAGCTAATACCACTGGCAAAACAGGGTACCCTTTGGCCACTTATTAGCAGCACTAAAGGAACTGTGTCAGTCTGGGTAGACTAGAAAAACAAATTCATAGACACTCATATGTATGAGCGTCAAGAGATATAAGATGTAAGAGACAACTTTATATCAAGGAATAATTGTACATTAAAAATACATCCCCCCCAAAAAAAAAATACAGCCCTTTGGGCTCAAGTAGAAAGAAAATGTTTTGACAATGGTGATGGCAACATGTATACAAATGTGCTTGACACAATGGAAGTATGGATTGTGATAAGAGCTGTACAAGCTCCCAATAAAATTATTTTTTTTTTAAATACAGCCCAGTCCAGGTCAAGTCCATATATCCAATACCAATCTATCAATTCCTCTTCATACTCACACAACACATGCAATGCCTCTGAATACAGGAAAATCACAGATTAGTGACTGTAAAGTCTTGTGGATCCAGTGGCGGTAGAAGCATCTTAGTGCTGATGTGGGTCTCTATGTGGCTCTTCCAGCTCTGGGCTGCATCAGTATAACTCCATCAGGCTCATTGTTAGTAATGTCTTGCAGGGAGTGAGTGTGCATCCTGCCTTCAGCAAGCTATGTATCTCCTTAGTGCCTCCAAATGAAGTTTTCAAGCGCAACCTGATTGACAGACTAAACTCCACCCCTTCACTCTTAAGTCTCAAATTGACCAAAGATTATGTAACTAACAAAGACCACCCCTTGTCAATTTGGCACTCACAAAACTCTTTAGCCATAATTAATTTTCAAACAAAAATAATAAAATCATATCTTTACCATAGGATAAAACTAAAATGTATACAATTCAAAAACCTGCCGTGCTCATTTAAATATAACATTCTATAAGTGAACAAAATTAAAATATAGTTATGTAAACACCTATATCTTAACCCTATAATCTTATTAATATATTTCCCCACCTATGAAAGTTTGTAAGCCAGCCACTTAATGCCTTTATCCCCCCAATTTTGGGTATCCAATTTCTATTCTGCCCACTTACATCAACCCAGTGCTCTGAAAAGACAATCATATTATTTGACAGGAAGAATCTTCATTCCAGTTAGAACCTTGTGAAGTCTGCATCCATAAGCAAAGTTAAATCAGGACAGGCCATCCATAAATTTAGCAGCAATATACACCAGTTCACAGTCTCAAAAACCTTCTCTTCATCTGGTCGGGTTCTGGTCAACCTAATGGGCCTCACCAGGGTGTCCATCTGTCGCCTTGCCTTTAGACCATGAATTCGTCACAGGTTTTCAGCAAGCCTAGCCCTCTTGTGCTAAGTCATGAACTTCAGACCAGTCAACCCCCTCACGTCTTCTCCTCTAGTCCCTGAAAACTAGGTCCACGGGTATCAGTGGCCAGACTCAACCCATCTCTTTATTGCTGTATTTCTCTCACTTTCACTCAAGAGGTGGATCCAGGTGGTCACCTAGCAAACATTTCAGCCTGCCCACAGGCTCTCTTTAATGTTCAGTCCTAGAGAGGAGTTTTCTTCATGTTTCCAGATTTTTTCCAGCTTCTGACAAAAACCACTAGGTACAAGATTCAAAAAGCCATAGTTCCTTTTTCTTCAATCTGTCAACAGTCCCCTAGGCAAGTCTCTTGGAATGCAAATGTCCTGAGTACTCCCAGAGCAATGAGTGGGGCTTATCTTCTCAGAGCCTTCTTTGCAGACATGCCCTAACCCATTTAAAGATTCAAATATTAATGGCTGAAGGCAAGGCTTCCAAACTCTATTTTCGTACTTCCCAATAGTAATTTATATTCATCATTATATTAATAACAATAAGCAGAAATCAGTATAAACAAAGTAGAATCAGATCCTAAACTCAATTCTTAAAACATTTGAGTTCATTCCTTATCTATCTATCTTAATCCTTATCTAAACTATTCTTTTGATACAAAATATGGGATCAGATATCTGACTGCATTGCCTCAAGCTCGGGTCAGGCCTTTGGTCAGCTATTTTGACCTCAGTCAGCCATTTTCTTTAACCAGCATGGTCTCTGAGAAATTCAAGGGGCGATTTCTACCCCTGAGCTCAAAATATACATGAACAACATTCATTGTTGCCATTTCACACAGGAATTACCAAAGACTACACCAGTGAAAAGAATCCAATGGAGAGACGGTCGTAGGATGCCTAGTGGGGCTTACTCAAGGGCAGTGTAGCAGTGAGGAATTACTAAACCTGATTGAAAGCCGAACATGATGGTGGGACAAGAGGAAAGTAAAAGGAAATAGAGGAAAGAACTAGGAGGCAAAGTACATTTATAGAGGTCTAAATATAGGCAGGTACATATATAAACATATATATATATATAAAACAAAAGGGGAATAGAACTATGTACTCATATCTATATGTTAAGAATTAAGGTTGCAGATGGACATTGGGCCTCGACTCAAGCACTGCCTCAACCCAAGAACACTTTGTTCTAATAATCCAGCATTCTGTGATGCTCATCTTCCCAACATGATCGCTGAAGACAAAATGGTGGTGCATGAGCAAATGTGAAAAAAGCTGATGGTGCCCGCCTATCAAAAAATACAGTGTCTGGGGTCTTAAAAGCTTGAAGATAAACAAGTGGCCATCTAGTTGAGAAGCAACAAAGCCCATATGGAAGAAGCACACCAGCCGTGTAATCATGAGGTGTCAGTGGGATCAGGTAT